CCTTGTCCCCGGCCTGTTCTGGAATTGTTCCTTGGTGCTAAACCAGAAATTTCACTGGTGGGGCTGTCTGGGGGGAATTTTGCACAGAGACCAACATAAGAACCAGAAAGCAGAACAGGCCCAGGCAGAAATCCCTCCTGTGCTCCAGCTTATGTGTAAAAGAGATCCTTACACCCAGCGTTAAATGCGAGATCACAGCGCTGCAGCTTTTCCCTGCTGAACTGTTCCCATTCCAGCTCGCTGGGTACAACGAGGAGGTTCTGGATGTGAAGTTCCTGGGCCCTGGTGACTCTCACATTGTTGTGGCCACCAACAGCCCCCAGCTGAAAGTGTTTGAGTTGGCAACGTCCCACTGCCAGATCCTCTATGGCCACACAGGTGGGTGCCAGCGCTGACCCGGCTGGGAGAGGGGCAGGGGTTCCCTTGTCCAGCTTCTCTTGGAGCTCCTGTGGAGGCTGGAACCCTTGAGCAGCATCACAACAGGTTTGGGAGTTGTGTGGAGAAAGGATATATCCCACTGTCCCTGTCACTGGCAGTGACATCAGTTTAATTTGGAGCTGAAGGGGTGCGAGTGCCACTCGCTCCACAGGGATTGTGAATGTCCTGTCCCAGTGTCCCAGACCTGTCCCCAGGACAGTGGGCTCATCAACTCATACATTCCTGTTGTCCCATTTCAGTATTTCTGTGCATCCGCCTGTTTTGTCTCCTTCTGTTTAGAAACAATTATGGCTTTGGATGTCTTCAGAAAAGGCCTGATGTTCGTCACCTGTGCCAAGGTGTGTCACTGCTCTTCATTTAATGCAGCTCTTCACTTTACTGATCTTTATGGGCAATATTCTACCACTTTTAGCACTCCAGAAAGGGCCTTTTATTCACACAATTCCTGTCTGCTGCATCCCCCAAAGATAAGGTTCTTCACTATCCCTTTTTAATGTTGTCCCTGGGAAATCAGTTGTATTTATTAGCCTGAAGGAGATGGTTCCTTCTCCAGGCATCTGGGTCTGGAATTAGAGATCAGAGAAGTTGCTAGTGTGGGACTGATGGGAGCTTCTGGGTGGGAAGAAAAGGTGCCAACTGCCCTGATACACCCAAAAATAAACCTCTGATAGACCCCAAAATAAATCTCCACTCTGGAACCCCAGGCTGGAGGTTTATCCTGTCTGGCTGTGCGTCCTCACCTGCTCTGACAAAGGCAGGCAAAGGTTCAAGCTGCAAAATTCAGGACCAGTCAGGCTGGGGATGTGGTGAAAGCCCAGGGGGCTGATCTCTTGTCAGAAAATCAAGCAGTTTCTGTGCTCTCCCCCACAGGACAGGAGCATCCGTGTCTGGAGGATGGGCAAGGCTGGCAGGGTGGTCTGTGTGGCACAGGGGCTGGGCCATGCCCACGGCGTGGGCGCTGTCGCCTGCTCCAGGTAACACAGACCGGGTCAGGCTGTGCCTTTGTGTCCTCCTGCTCATGGAGGGGAAGGGCCTTTTCTCCTGTGCAGGGGAAGCCACTGATTTGCCTCCTCGACATTTTTGTTCCTCTCAGAATGAAGGAAAGCTTTGTAGTAACCAGCAGCCAGGACTGCACAATCAAGATCTGGAATATCCCGGAATCCCTCACTTCCAAAGCAAAAGCAGCCTCGATCTCCAGCCCAGAAACCCTCCATGCCAGAGTGACTGAGAAGGGCCACAACAAGGTCAGGCTCCCCCTGAGCCCAGAGCGTGGCTCTGGCACTTAAATCTCCCTCTCCCGTGTTCCCCCTCTGGTCATTCCCAGAGCAAAGGCTGAAGTGCTCTGTGCTCCTCTTCCCCCCCAGGACATCAACAGCGTGGCAGTGTCCCCCAATGACAAGCTGCTGGCCACGGGCTCGCAGGACAGGCTGGCCAAGCTGTGGTCCTGCTCTGACTGCTCCTTGCTGGGGGTGTTCTCGGGGCACAGACGGGGCATCTGGTGCGTGCAGTTCTCCCCCGTGGATCAGGTCCTGGCCACCTCCTCGGCAGACGGGACCCTGAAGCTCTGGGGCCTTCGGGACTTCAGCTGCCTGAAGGTGAGGAGAGCTCCTGCCCCTGCTCCAGGCAAAGCCCTGGGGTTGATCCTTTGGAAACTGAGCTTCCTTTCCGCTTCCCAGACCTTTGAAGGCCACGATGCCTCAGTGCTGAAGATCATCTTTGTGAGCCGAGGGGCCCAACTGCTCAGCAGGTTTGTGCCTGTCCCGGGAGTCTGGGGGAGATCCACAGCTGGTCAGGAGGGAATCTCTTGGCTGAGCAGCAGCAGCAAGAGGGAAGACTCTTGTGTCCAAGGAGTCCTTGGAAAGACTGATAGGAAGGTGCCATATTTAGGCCAAGCTTTCTACAGGGGCTGAATGAATCCTCTTCTCCAGTTATTCCATGGATTCTGTTTATCTGCTGTGCATTGCTGGGCTGGGGACACACAGGAGGCAGAGCTAAGGGTGCATCTTGCCCTGCACATTTTGTTTAATTCTGTTCCTGTTTGGAAGGCACTGGAATGGGACAAATTTATCTGATATTTGAGGTGGGGGCAGAGCAAGAATGGATCTGTCCAGTGATTATTTTTTTTGTTTTTGTGTTTCTCTTCCAAAAGTGGATCTGATGGTCTCTTAAAACTCTGGACAATTAAAACAAACGAGTGTGTTAAGACATTAGATGGTCATGAAGATAAAATCTGGGGTCTTCACTCCAACAAACAAGATGACATGGTGGTGACAGCCTCCAGTGACTCCTGCATCACACTCTGGCAGGTACAGCACAGGGAGTCCTGACTCCTCTCGGGGTTAATAATCAGGATAAATGGAGAACTCAGGATGCCAGTGGCTTGTTCCTCATGTGTTCCCATTTTCTGCACTTTGGAATTGGGTCAGTAAGGCTTATCTTGGGGTTTGGGGTTATTTTTTGGCCAGACTGTGTTTCCCCTGCAGCAGATGGGCCCCAGCAGCCTCAGGCACTGGTGGCTTGGAGGGAAGTTGGGAGTTGCTGGATTTAACCCTTACATTACTTGGCCTAGAGATCTTGCTGCAGAACCTGCTCTCCTAAGCACTCAATGGCTCAATAAAAATCCGTGTGTATTAAAGCAAGATTTGATAAAGTTTTATCCTGTGTTTTTATAGGATGTCACTGAAATTGAGGAGAAAGAAGCACAAGCTAAACAGGAGGAGCAGATTATGAAGTGAGTTGGTCTTGTGCAATTAAGAGCCGAACTGCCCACACCTGGAGCCATCCAGCTCCATCTAATCCCAGTATTTAGTGAGAGCACCGAGGCATTTATTGACAAGCACCACTGACTCGTTGGTGTGACCCCCCTGCACGCTGTTACTGCCAAATCTGCTGCTTTTTGCACAGTGCTTGTTTCCACCACTCAAACACTGGTCTCACTCTCGACCCTGATTTGTTTTTCAGAGAGCAAGAGCTTTCTAACCTGCTCCATGAGCACAGGTACCTCCGAGCCCTGGGCTTGGCCATTTCCCTGGATCGGCCTCACACCGTGTTGACGGTGGTCAAGGGTGAGTCCATGTCATTCTCCAAAGGCATTTTCCTGCCCTCTGCTTTCCAGAACACTCTTTCCAGGCTCCAAGGTCTAATTATTAGTCGGAAAGCCTCAGTGTTCCCTCTCTCTTTCCCGTGTTCCTGAGTGCAATCACCCCAGATAACAGTGGTCTCCGTGCTCTCAGCCTGGGCTCTCCCTTCTCTCTCTGCAGCCATCCTTAAGGAACCCGAGGGGAGAAAGCACTTGGAAGAGAACATTGTTCGGCTCCGGAAGGATCAGAAAGGTTTGTCACGATGTGGTTTGAGTGTTGAAAGCTTCCGGGTCAGGGGCTTGTTTTCTCGACTGAAATTAAGAATCATAAAATAGAACCATGGGATGGTTTGGGTTGGAAGGGCCTTAAAGCTCATCCAGCTCCACCCCCTGCCGTGGGACATTCAGGGACATTAGGCCTCGTCATCCCACACATTTAGGGTGTGATGGCTCAAGGAATGGCTCTGTCTGGAATTACTTTGCCCCTCTGGGCTTGTCAGTCACTGTCTGTGGGAGCTGAACCTCTGTAAGACCCAAGACATGAGTGTCCCTCCCCCACAGAGGCTGTGCTGGCATTCCTGGTCACCTGGAACACCAACTCCCGGAACTGCCACGAGGCCCAGGCTGTCCTGGAAATCCTCCTGAAGCACGAGGCACCCGACAGTCTCCTGCAGTTCTCGGGCATTAAACCTGCTGTGGAGTCCCTGCTGCCCTACACGGGTGAGTCGCTGCGGGGCCGGGCCTGGGGTGTCCTCCTGTGGCCTGGAGCACAGAATCCTGGGATGGTTTGGCTTGGAAAGGACCTTAAAGCTCAGCTATGGGCAGGGACACCTTCCACTGGCCCAGGGTGCTCCAAGCCATGTCCAACCTGGCCTTGGACACTTCCAGGGATGGGGCAGCCACAGCTTCTCTGGGCAGCCTGTGCCAGGGCCCAACCACCCTCCCAGGGGATAATTCCTTCCCAATATCCCATCTAACCCTGCCCTCTGGCAGTGGGAAGCCATTCCCCCTGTCCTGTCCCTCCGTTCCTTGTCCCCAGTCCCTCTCCAGCTCTCCTGGAGCCCCTTTAGGCCCTGGAATGGGCTCTCAGCTCTCCCTGGAGCCTTCTCTTCTCCCGGTGAACCCCCCCAGCTCTCCCAGCCTGGCTTCACAGCCTGTGGACATGGGAAACATTTGCACCCTGTTCCAGGGAGCTCTTTCCCACTGCCCTGATCACTCCTGTCCCTGCAGAGAGGCACTTCCAGAGGCTCAGCCGGCTGCTCCAGGCCTCCATGTTCATCGACTTCATGTGGCAGCACATGAGGTTGGGGGACACGGCCCAGCAGGACAACGGGACCCTGTGACCCTCCTCCCACCGGTTCCTCTTTCCAAAGGGGGGGAGCCTGAGCTCCTTCCCACCAGGATGGTAACTGTATTTTTAGTTCCTGTATTTTATAATAAATTTTTAAATGTTAATTTGTAAAAGAAGCCCAGCATCCAATCTCCTCAGGGCCCAATGAGAGGAAAGGGTCGTTTCTTTGGCCAAGCTCTGGTTTGTATTTTCATACCCTGAATTTTCAGGCCCAGACACTCAAACATCATTTAGTTTGGAGGAAAGGCAGAATCCCAACAAGTAGTTGGGCTTTACTGGGATTTAAAACCTTTATGGAGCTGAAAGGCACTCCTGGCAACGTCATATCATGTCCCCAAGCCCAGCTGGGCCCTGGGTGTCGATCACTGGTGTGCCATTAAATATTTTCTTTGCTTGAGCAGAGTGCAGCCTGGACCAAGGCAGGTCTCTCAGCTGTGCCCACCCCACATTTAGCACCTGAGAGGGAGAGAAGCACGATTTTAATTCCCCAGGTAGCAAATTTTTAAGGTGTAAAACTCAGACTTCAGACATGTTTACATGTATTTTATTTCAAAGACAAAAATGTATAAAATTCAGAACGACACAAACATCTCACAAGTTGTTTCTAAACAACATTAACAGGGAGAATAACTACAATCAAAGCCAGCAATATATAGAAAAGCCTTAATTTTCCTAGAACTATTCACATAACAAATCTAGCAACGAGTTTAGGATGAGAATTGCTGGGAGTTTCAGTAACTGCCAGACTCCCTTGGAAGGGGAATGTTTTGTCCATAAAAGTGACCTTTCTCCCTGTCCCCATGTGGGACACAAGCTGTGCCACCCCTGTTTGTGCTCCTGTGTCTGCACAGCCACGGCTGGAGGGAACAGCCAGGGATGAGGTTCCACTACCTAAATTGATCTAAGCTGTAAAAAAACAAACCCCAAACCAACACCAAAACCTAAACAGTTTAAATATATATATATGTTAAATATGGGGTTCAGGTAAATGACATCACAGCTGCATCATCCCATCCCTCCCACAATCCAGTAACTGTAGCTTGGGCTGCCATTGGTGACTCTGAGTCATCTGGTGCCACTTCTCTGCCCTCTGGGGTGGCTGCAGCTCACCTGGTGTGGGGAAAAATGCAACAGTGACTGTGAAATGTTCAACTGTTCACATCCTGCACGGCAGAATGAACAGCTGCCTGAGGGAGAACTTACTGAATTCCAAGTGACCTCTAACTTAGGAGCTGCTGGATCCGCAGCTGCCCTGACTCCCCTGAGGAGTTAAACCACTAAATCCTTTCCCAGTAACTCCCTTCTGGCTCCCAGTCTCCCTGTGAAGCCGCAGCAGGAATTGGTGCTGCCCAAGGAGGGGATGGATGTCAGTGGGTGTATTATTTGGGATCCAGTGGTGTCCTTGGGAAGCCACAGTCCAAGGGCTGATGTTCCCACGGGGCTCTGGTGAGGGGTGCCTGGCTCTGCCTGGGCTGTGTCCTGTCCCTGCTCTAGTGCAGGCTGGGCAGCAGTGGCTGCAGGCCTGGCCGTGGGCTGTGTCCCTGCAGGGCCCGTTTGGTGACGGTGCTGCACCTCTGCAGGATCTCGTGGGTTGAGGGCCGTGCTGGCACCTTGGGGACACTCGTGGCCAGGTCGGGGTCGGGCAGGGGCGAGCTCAGGTCGGCTGCAGACGACTCCACGAAGCCAGAGTCGTTCCTGTCCCTGGGGGTGAGGCGTGGGGACTTGGTGCCGTGCGTGGCCAGGGCAGGGGAGCTCCTGTTCTGCTCCACTTCAGGCAGAGAGCGGGACAGGTCGGGCTTCCAGCTCAGCCGGGCATCCTGCTCGCTGCTGCTGCCCGAGCTCAGGGATGAGCTCTCTGACTCCAGGTCTGAGGTGGAGCTGGCTCTGGGCAGAAACCTGGATCTGCTCCTCTGAGAGCTCCCATCTTCTTCATTCAGGTTGAAGGAAGAGCCAGGCTGTGCCCTGGGCTGTGCCAGGGCCTGCCCCCGGGGCTGGGGGGCCGACAGGGAGGAGCAGAGGTTTGGGGTGGAGACGTTGAGCCCAGAGTTGATGATGGTCTGCAGCTTGTGGTGAGGATTCTTGTAGGGCCGGAGGCACATGGAGGGCATGTAGCCCGTGCTCCCATTGTACCTGAGGGCAGGGATGGAAGGAACACTGAGAGGAGCCCTTCGGCCAGTTCAGACCAAGGGGAGGGAGCAGAGCAGGGCAGGGCCCGGCCCTGTGCTGTACGTGGGGTGTGAGGAGTGGGAAACCATCCCTGGCCAAGGACATTCAGCTCAGGGATGCACCCAAATGGCAAGGAGAGGGCAAGCAGCAGCTGCAGCAGGTAACCAGCTCCCTGGGGAGGCAGGACTTTGGAAAAGCCTCCTTACCGGATGAGCCACCAGCCATTGTCAGAGCTCCTGAGCACCTCCACGACCACCCCGCTGTGCAGAGAGAGCTCATCCGCCTTCTGCGCCTCATAGGGCTGCACCACGAAGTACAGGCTGCCTGTGGAAGGAGGAGGAGGTCGGATCTGCCCCGTGGAGAAAGTGCCCCTACCCTGTGACAGAGCAGCTCAGCTGAGGGGCAGTGTCCCTGAGAGGGACTGGCTGCTCAGGGACCCCAAACTGAGTGATTTAGGTTGGACACGAGGAAGGTGTTTTTTCTACAATGAGGGTGCTCAGGCCCTGGCACAGGTTGCCCAGAGAAGTGTGGCTGCCCCATCCCTGGAAGTGTCCAAGGCCGGGTTGGACAGGGCTTGGAGCAACCTGGGCTAGTGGGAGGTGTCCCTGCCTATGGCAGGGGGTGGCACTGGATGACCTTGAAAGGTCCCTTCCAACCCAAACCATTCTGTGATTCCATGGCAGAGCTGACCAGAAGAGTCAGAGCTCCAGAGATCCAGGTGGGGACTCCAAGCAGTGGTTAAAGTGGTGAGGTTTTGCAGAACTCATTTTTTGAAGGTGTCCCAGAGAGCCAGGAGCAGACTTACCCTCCTCATTTGAGCTAAAGGTGTTCTGGATGTCCTCGTGGACATCAAGCTCTTCCAGGTACGAGGCTGGGAACCAGGCAATCTGCTTGTCTGCATTTTCCACCAGCCACCACCCTACAAAGAGCAAAACACCCCGTTTTTAACAGCCTGCAAGTTGAGAGATGACCATAATCCCTGGATAAGGGACACAAGAGACAGGAGGGACATTCACTGTCCCCTCAGGTAGGCACACAAGTACAAACACCTGCACTCCTGACACTACCCTGGCATTTGCCGGGCTATGAATCAACCTGCCCCTCCAGCCCTGACACTGAAGAATCCCCTCAAACATACCAGTCATGTCCTTGATCAACACTTCAACAATTTCCTCCTGAGCCACTGTGAACGTCCTGTTCTTGGTGTCCTTGGTTTCAAAGCTCTCGATGCAGCGGTAGCTCTGGGACGCCTGGGGAAGGGTGATGGAGATGGGCTGGTGCTTCTTTTCCCTTCTAAATTCTGATGGCATGATCACAACACTGCAAAGCAAAGTTTCGCATCAAAAACTCAGGTGGAAGGTTGAGTTTAGCCTTAGCTTTAGTAAAATCACTTTTGCAGTAGCTTTAGGCACCAGAGACGACATAAACCCAGATTAAAGCACCCAGCAGAACTTCCCTGCTCTGCTGCCCTCGTGTAACTGGTGTTTCTCTTCTACCCACATTCCATAACATTTCTGCTTGGTGAACAAACAAAAAGGACAACTCGGATTTCACACCTGTTTTCAGGGAAGGAGGGGTCGAGGTCCTGGGTCTGTGCCTTGAAAAACTGATTCACGTCTCCCCCCTGGGAGATTCTCGCGTCCATTTTCAGCAGCTCCTGGGAGTAGGTTTCCAGCAGTTTCAGGATCTCCAGGCACCTGTTCAGCTTCCCACCCTTCCTGTGCTGCATAATCACACCTTTAAAAGAAAAAGGGCACAGCTGGTGTAAGACAACAGCAGGTCTGGATGTCTTTGGGAGCAGCATCTTTTGCCTGAACACGGGGTGTCCTCACCCACCACCCTTCCTGCCCCGTCCCAAACTGTACAAAGTCACTGTCCCTGCCTCCCTGTCCTTTCTAATAGCTCCTGATACAATTTTCTTAACATCTAAAATTTATCTTTTTTTTCACATGTAAATATTTCAAGAAGGTCTGTGCAGATATTTAAAGTGTAATACTAATTTCCCAAGTGCAATTATCTAATAAAAAAGCCTTTCTGGGTTGTTCTAAGTCTGTACTAGACCCAAGCATGTTGATATAACCCAGTGGTGCTGTACCAGGAGCAGGAGAGAGCTCTTAACCTGTTCCAGAGGAAGGTCAGACTCGGAGACTTCAGTTTGTGTCCCCAGTTATGCCTGTCCTGTCCACTCACATGTTTGCTGGTCCATCAGAGATTTATTCTTACCTTTAAACCTGGGTAAACTCCTGAGGGAGCCACTCTCCATGGGGAATTTTCTCTTCAGCTCTTTCTAAAAGAGAGAAGGAGAGAACAGTGATTCCTCACAGCCCTGACACACAGCTGGGCTCCTTTGCCTCTCCAGGATGGGAATCCTGACATTCCAGGAACTGAAAACTCACTTACATGGAATTTCTTAAAGTCTTCAAATGTCCGGTAGATGAGAATGTTGTTCTGGTCTGACCAAGTCACAAACATCATGTAGTTCTGGGAAAAGAAAAGGGAAAAGAAGTGCAATTTAATCACAATGTTCCATCTGAGATGCTTCCAGGCAATCAGCGTTTGCCACGAGCTGTGCGTTAGTTCTGGCTTCAGGCTGAGAGTATCACATTAAAAAATTCAATTAAACATTAAACCCACAAAAATATTTCCTTAAATTTAAGGGTTCCAAATGGGTAATCATAAATGAAATCAGGAGGATTTTATGGTGCTATGACAAAAGGAGAGCAAAATCCAAGATAACAATTTTCTTACAGTATTAAGCCCATTACAAAAATCCCTTTGTCCTAGATCCCAAGGCTCCTAATCCCAACGCTGTGGGGAATGAGCAAACACATCCCTAGAAGAGTAAGTCCAAAGCCCTCTAGTTTGCTAATTTACAATATATTTCAGGAGGAAAAAAAAAGCCAAAAATTATAAAAATTAACATACCTTCTGCTTTCTGCATTGCATGAAGCCAACAGCCTTCACATCCACGGGGTACCTGCTGCAGCTCATCTTCCCCACGCCTGCTCCTCCCTCACTGGCAGCTGGAGGGATGTGTCCTGGAGGGATGGCAGCTGGATGGGAGCTGGAGGGATGGCAGCTGGAGGGATGTGAGCTGGAGGGATGTCCTGGAGTGATCTGAAAGGATGTGTCCTGGAGGGATGTGTGCTGTGCTGGAGATTGCAGAGCTGTGGCTGCAGCCAGGACTCCCCAGGTTAAATACCCTGGAGCAGGAGGCAGGGCACAGGCGTTCCCGAGCCTCCTCCTCCGCCCCGCCCCGCAGAAATTCCGTAGTTTGGCAAACTACCGGGTACCTTTTAACTTTTATCATTCCCCCTGCTTCTAACATGCAAATAGTCCCGGCTGTGGCAGCAGGGACAGAGTTCAGGGAGCCGGGGAGCAGATCCAGCTTGTTTTATCACATCCCAGCCCGTGCTGGGAAGTGAGCCAGGCCCTGGGCGTGCAGGAGGTCACTGGGGCAGCAGCTCCTGCCCCGAGAGATTTCCGGGGGCACACGCAGAGTTTTTATGGCTGTATTGCAGAGAGTTACCTGCAGCCCAGGATGAGCTCGCCCCAGTCCCAAAAGCTGATTTACAACGTGGGTTGTCGCAAAGCACAAATCAGGCACCACTTGATACGTGTGATAATTGTTACAAATATTTTTTCTTTACGGCTTTGTCCCACCTGCTGAGATACTTTAAATGGATTTCTGGCAGCCTTATCAATATTTGAGTGCTCTCAGAAATTATGGGAGGTGCCAATGCCAGTGTTGTCATAGCATCAGAGAAAGGTTTGGGTTGGAAGGGTCATCAGAGACCATCCAATTCCCACCCCTGCCATGGGCAGGGACACCTTCCACTAGCCCAGGTTGCTCCAAGTCCCGTCCAACCTGGCCTTGGACACTTCCAGGGATGGGGCAGTCACAGCTCCTCTGGGCAACCTGTGCCAGGGCCTCCCCACCCTCACAGGGAAGATTTTCTTCCCAATATCTGATCTAAACCTGCTCTCTGTCAGTTGGAAGCCACTGATCCTTGTCCTGCCACCACATGAACAAACACGTCCCAGGGCCAAAAGCTCCTCAGATGTAAATATGGGATGGAGACTCAGCTCTGAGCGCCCTGAGCACTGTCCTGCATCCAGCCAGGTGTCCATACCCTCCCAGCTCTTCCCAAGGACCAGCTCCACTACCCAGAGGCACGGAAAGACAGGTAATTCCAGCCCTGGATAGCCTGTCCTCTCCCTGAACCAGCGTGTGCCTGCCTCAGGTTATGACTTGGCTGATGGGCACCGGGTGATCAAACGGCCTTCTCTGTCCTCCCTCTCCCTCCTCTTTGATAAAGCCTAAATTGAACCATTTTATCATTATCATTATCATTATCACTATCATTATCATTATCACTATCATTATCATTATCATTCCTTCTGGATATCAGGCAGTACAGTGAGGAGGGCCTTGCTTTGTGTTCCATGAGCACGTGAGGCTGCTCCCACACAGCAGGATGGCAGCTCCTGGGGGCAAAGGGAGCTGTTCTGTTGCAGTTCTATCTGTTGCTGCTGGATATCTGTCCTCCATTAGAAAGGGAAAGTCATCCAGAGAGAACTTTGGTTCTGTGTGTAATTCGGTGGGAAAACCCCTTCAACAGCACCTCCAGGGCACTTCCCGGCTCAGGAAGCCAGACAGGATCTGCTCTGTGGAAAGGTGATGTGAAGCAGCTCCCTGCTCTCCCTAGCCTTGGAATTTGACCCTCCATCCCTCTGTTCACAAAGGGTCCAGCAAAGGGTGAGGATTTTATGGAGAGACAGGAAATCAGTTCATCCAGGGAGTTTTATTAGAAGGTCCTAGTCTCTGGGGTGGCCAAGAGGGCCAAGCTCACCTTCACATGGCTCTTGGAAATATCCAGGACCAAGACTATCAACAAAGCACCTTGGATTGGTTTCCTGTCTCAGAGCAGATGCAAACCACAGTGTATTTCCAAGAGTGGCTTAAACATGTTTACCCTGACTGGGAAAAGCCAAAGACAAGGAAAACCTTGGAGGAGCTGCAGGAAGAGGAGATGGGCAGGGAGGTTCAGAGAGCACGTTGCTCTGCATTGGAAGATATGTGGATGTCCTGAAAACAAGAGCAGGAAACAGCCTTGGTCAAAGGCTTTGCTGTGTTTCACCATTCTCAGGGAATTCAAGCAGAAAGGGAGGGGTGGAACATAATGGAATGTTACATAAGGGAAGGTTACATGGGGGTTTGCAACCACCCAAGGCTGGAGAACCAGCCATGCTGTTTGGAGGGCCAGTTTATGGGAGAGATTGGGTTCACTGGGAGATTGGTGGTCACAGGGGACCTCAGATCAAGGGAAATATGAGCAAAACCACTCCAAACTCAGGAAGTGGTTCCTGAGAAAATGTTCTGCGGGAGCAGAGCAGAGGTGTGGGGAGGGAGGAGAACAGCCTGGCACTGCTCAGGGACATCAACCCCTCCCGTTTCATCCCAGAGGGTTCAGCTCCAGGCTCTACAGATGTCACGGCAGTATCAGTGCCCCATCCTTGTCAAGGCTGATGTCATGAAACTGTTCCTTGGAGAACGACCTCATGAGTCAGGTCAGGTTAGCCTGGAGTGACACTACCCATGAAACCAGAGGGAGGGATGGCCAGATTCCCTCTGGAATCCTCAAGTGCTCCTCAACACATCCTACACAACACCCGGCCGTGCCAGGGCCATTTCTGTTGGGAAGGATGCATAACCAACTGGAATAGGCCATTAATTCCACTTCTCTGCTGGATACATTTGAACTTATACAAAAACAAGACAAAACATCATTTTTTTAGACATTATTAAGTTTACTTTTTGACTTCTACTACTTCCAGATTATCCTGCCATAAATCAGGACCTCCTCATGGGTAATTATTAACAGAAGGGTAGGAGTGGTCTGCTCAGAAACTGTGACACTCCTCAAGTATTGCTGGTCACTGCTGTTTCCTCATCAATTTACACAGCTTTGAGGGCAACAGTTACTTTTGTCTTTATACGTTTTACAAGGTACCAAACAGATCATAAATTAACAGGTAACATGTGGGAGTGCACTGCCCGGCTTTGCCGAGATGGAGGAAACGCAAGTTTTCCTCCATAACTTCCGTGAGTTTTCATCCTGCTCCAAAGGAGCCCTGCCAAGGTGGAGTTCTGCCTCCTGCTCCTCGAGGAGCATCACTGTGGCCATAAACTGCTCTGGGTATAGGAACATGTTTGTGTCACGGCAGGTGACTCAGGTGTTGTCATGGGGAGTCACACCAGACTCCCTCCCCCGGGTTGCCCATGGTTGGGAACACGGGGTGGGTCATCCAATGGCTCCAGGAACACCCACGGTCACCAGGGCTGTCCCCCCTGCTATTCCCTTCACAAGATCAGCTTCCCTTCCACGACAAATAAACACTGAGGGTCTGCTTTTCTTTGCATTCCAGTGTGGATCAGGAATAACCTAATCTGGTGGGTTTAACCAGAGTACAGCAGCCCTGGTGGGACAAGTGCCTGGAGCAATCCTTCCCTGCATCCACCAGGAGCCAGAGTAGAGTTTGAGTGATAAGGGTGACCAAAGGCAGCTCCTCACCAGCCCCTCCACAGCCGTTTTCCAAGTCTAACAAGCAAACGGCCTCATCCCAAATGCCCACACGTGGAGAAGAGGAGGAGCTGTGTTATGAACAGCCTTTAGCACATATAGAAGTCATGTCTAGGCTGGTGAGTGACCTGTACCCTCACGGCTGACAATGTGTGGGACTCTGCATCAGGGATTTCTCTTTCTATGCCCAGCACAGGAAAGGCAAAGGGAGGGAAAGGCCTCAAACCACCCTCAGGACACTGGCTGCAAGGAAGAGATATGAGAAGGCACAGCCAAGGGGGGCCCTTGCCTGGAACAAGGCCTGTAGAAAAGCTCCATCTTCCCCTCCCTCACTTTCAGGATCAAAACCTGCCCTTTACTGTTCTTGAAGGTCATCCGTGATGACACACGACCTATCAGCACCTTTAATGAAAACCCCAGCTGCTAAAAGCTGATCTTAAGAGTACAAAGAGGGTTTAGACTTTTAATAAATTGAGAAACAGACCCTTATTTAAAAAGAATAATGAAACCCCAGACACTGGAGTTGACAAAAGTCTCCTTCACCTCATGAACAAAGGAAGTGGTTGAACTTTCACACAGGCTGGGATGAGAGATTTTGTAGTATCTAAACAAGAAGAATGTATTTTATTTCATCCTAATTTCAGCAGCTGCTGCAGGCTTTAAAGCATTTTTCTGTGGCCTGTGGGATCTGGTTCAGCAATCCTCAGAGATCCTATGATTCCATGACTGTGCTTGTTTTCCACAAACCCTTATTCTGCCCTTTCCATGAGCACCCAGCACACGGAGAGGGGATGGTTCTTCGGACCCTTTCATTCTCCTCTCTGTTCCAAGCCTGTCTCTGCTTTCCTCTGCCACGCTCCCACCTCAGCACAAGTCCCACTCCCTTTAATCTGCAGTATCCTGGGATGGATCATTCCTGGGGCATCCCTGGTTATTGCCCACCAGGACTCAGTCCCTGCTCTGGATCACTGACAGCTGGTATAAAATCACTGCATCCCATCAAACTGCCTGAAACCTGGCACCAGAGGGCTCCTTTTCCATGAAAAGCCCTTGGGATGCAGCTGCCCAGCCCAGGGGGAGCCTTGCCTGTTGTGGGAGGTTTGTTTGCTGCCTGGGGTGTGTCAGATGGGCTCTTGTTTACCAAGCGCTTGTTGCGATAATTTCACAGCTCCTTTGTAAAAGTGGCATATTTTCCTGAGGTCATGCAGAGGACAAAAGCGTGATTCAAGAGAGAATCTTCCAGAAAGGGTAAGAATGTAACTTAAACCACTGCAAGAGAAAGTTTCCTTTCATTGCATCATTTTCTACAAAAAAAAAAAAAAGGTGTTTGATGAGTGTGTGGTCCAAGGTCAGCACAGTGAGTGAACGTGCTGGGACTCAGCCATGGGATGTGAAAGGAGATGGAAGGCAGGGTGGAGTTTCCAAGGGGGTTCAAGGCCTGCCCTGTGTGTTCCCAAACCCAGTGGGGGAAAATCCCAGCACCGCCAGTACAGCCAATAGCAACTGCAGCAAGTACCAGGGAACGTGGAACTCGGGAAAAATCTGTTCTTACTTCATGATAAATATAGTAAAGTGATCAGAGACAAGATCACTGTGTTCCTTCCAGATTAGTCAGAGAAGTGCTCATCCCACTCCTCCCCTTTCCTCATTCCCCACGCCATCGATGAGCAGAGCATGCAAAGTGCCTCATCTCTCCCAGGGATTCCACCAGCAGTGCCTCCAGTCAGAAGTTCACTGTATTTCAGGGCAAAGACAAGACCTTTGTGTTCCTTGCCTCCTTCAGAAAACAGGGAAAGCAATATTTAATCTTCTCTCAAAAGCCTGGTGGGGAAAAGAGTAATGTGGAAGGAGAACTAAGTTCATTAATGATTAATTCTTATCAAGTCAACATAGCACCTGTTACCTGAGAATAATCTGTTCCACTGACTGAGACTTCCCATTCAATTGCTTTGACTTACTTCTGGAAAAAGGAATCACCCCTAATCAGAGAGATAAGGAAAAGGAGACACCAGGTGTACCTGTCCTGTATGGGACAAGTGATTTTAAAAGCTCAGCCCTCGTAACAACAGAGTCATTCATTT